CGCCTCGCTAATACCGTGTTTTACTAACAGTTTATCTCCACACAGGTAACACAAGTAGCAAGACAGCCGGGTCCTCCTGCCCCGTCCCCTTACTCTGCACATGACATAAGCAAGGGACACCCCAATCTTGCTGCCACGCCACCGGGACACGCGGCGTCCCCCGGGCTCTCACAGGTAAGAGCGGCCATTGGAGCAGAGCTTTCCCGGCCTCCCCGCTGCTTCTTTCTTTCTTCCGGAGCAATTCCTGGCTTGGCTGCTCGAATCCGCTGTCTCGGCGCGCTTGGTGGCCACCTCGAGGCCGGGATGTCCCCTGTGCTGCTCGGCAGGGGGTTCTTAGCCCTTCATCCCTCGTCGCTTCTTTAACGACTCGCTTGTCCCGGCACCGGCTTTGGGAATAACGGAGCCTCCTCGCAGGGAGCAGCGCGCTTCCCTGCCGGCTTCGGGCATCGCTTTCCTCTCGAACCCTCTGGAAGCGCCGCGGGTCCCTCGGGATCCAGCCGGAACGGTCCGCGCAGGAGGCGGCAGCGCCGCGATTCTCCCTCAGAATGGGCCTGGCAAAGGGATTCGAAAAATGAGCGTTAACCAAAGGAACGCGCCGAGAGGCTGATAAGGGAAAAAGAGAGAAGAGGAGATAAATAGGAGCTATAATGAGCATGGGAGAAAGAGCGTTTAATAGATAGGGGGAATAAATTGGATTTTTGTGGTTTACATTAGTGAGGAAGCTTATCTTAAAAAGGGAAGGGGCAGAAGAGACAGGTAATGGGGACACTGGAGGAGACGGCAGAAGAAAGAGGGATCAGGGAGAGGGGTGGGTGGAAGCACTGAGGATCGAGATGCAGGAAAACCTCAGGGCTCGGCTCGCTCGGGGCTCACTCACACTTGCAGGAGGAAACGCAGCAGGTCGGGTATGAACCGCCCCTCCTGCCAACCGCCTCGGCTTGGGGGAAATATTGAACTACAGCCAGTCTTTTTGTGGGAGATGTGTGCAAACCACTGAGGTCACGGAAGGAATGCTCCATCTTTAATATATATATATATATATATGTATGTGTGTGTAACACACGTGGTGACGAAAGCTCTGGTTTGACGACTGAGCGTCACGTAGCAAAGGAGGCAACGTAAAACGTGGTCTGGCCTGTGTCCCGGGTCAAGAAGTTCATCCCTGGGAAGCTTGGTGAGCCCAGGAGAGCTCATGATGTGGCAGAGAAGAGGGGAAGAACGCGGATGTTCTAGATGGCCTCTTAAAGAACTCTTCCCGAGCTGCTCTTCCCGCAATATTTTCCTGTTGAGTCAGTGCGTACGCGGGGAGCGGTGCCAGGGCGGCGCTCCGGGCGGGCAGGAAGGTGCCGCTTTCCGGCCGGGCAGCCCGGGCACCGGGGCTGGGCTGTTCCTTGCCCGTCCTCCCCTCTCGCCCCAGGGCCGGTCACCGTTGCGGGTCCCCTCGCCGGACCTCCCTTTGGCAGTGGAACCCGTGGTGACGCTCAGCACGGGCTCTGCTCTGAGCCTGCAGAGAGGCAGTTGCAGCGTAACCCGACCCAGAGACCGTTCGAATTCGCTCCGTGTTATTGAGACATCCGAGAGCTCGTCACCCTCTGAATTTGCCCATTCCCACATCGTATCTCGCGTTGACTCCGGCCAATGCTGGATTTCAGCACCGAGCTCCAGTGCTGCATTCTGCAGCTCACAGCGTCTCGGCTTGGTTTGCTCCTCCGATGCAGTTGCTCCTTTCACCTCTTTTTAGCCCCATGAAATCCCACTATTTCCCTTTGGAGATAAAGGGCCCGGGCAGACGTGGGCCTTCGGGTAAACAGCTTCTTCCTGACGTTTCTTGCAGCAATTTCACGTTTCTCTCGCAGCGATGTAACAGTGGTGCCCAGGTGAAAAGCTTGGGAAGCTGCTGCCTCCTTTGAGCTGGCCTCTGCTTACGGCGTGGACGTTTTCCGGACCACGACCGAAGGAATTTTCTTAAACCAGAATCTTTTCAAGGTAGGAGCCTTTGGCTGGCCATGCAGATATGCACAGAAATACATATTTTTCAGCTCAAATATCGCTCGCGATCTGAAGCGAGGAGCCTGCAGAGGCAGAACTGTGAAAGCAGGAGATATTTTTCATGCAGGAGGAGGAATGTCAAGGGCAACTGTATGTCGCTGCCTATGCAGCTGGCTTTCCTTTGACTTGATTTAAATAACCAGAAATGGCTGTTTTCGTGCAGCGCTGCTGCTTGCTGCCTTTTTTCCACTCATTTTTCTACCTTTTGCAAACAGCCAGAGCAAGGGGCCGTCTCATTGTCCATCTCCCTCTCAAACCTTTCCTGATGCCGGGCCCTGAATGTGCTGCCATCCCAAATGAGTTTCCACAGCAAAACCAGAGGATTTTGGAGGCAACGAGGAGCGTTTCCTCGCCCCGCGGCGCGAGCCGGCGTTCCTGCTTCCCTCGGCCTTCCCAAATTCCACAGCCTTGAAGTCATCGTCCCGCTGCTGCGCGGAAGGCGCTGAGCTCCGCGCGATAGCAGCAAGTATTGCTGGAGAGACGATTCCATGAGGAGCGACGACGTCCCGTTCTCCCCAAGGGTGTTTTGGAAGGGAAGGAGCGTTGGTGGATTTTGGCTTGCTCGATGGAAGGGAGAGAAATGCCCTTCCCAAAGGCCCTTCCCTGCCTTCGCTTTGGAATCGTGGCTGCTGTCTCCGCACTTGGAGAACAAGCTGCTGTTGGAGCCGCTTTCCCGGCCTTCGCGTTGGACTCTTCACCCTGGAGCGCTTTTCCGTACGGGAAGCTCCTGCTTTCCACGTATGGGATTTTACGGCAGCTACAAACGCAGATGCTGGGAGCTGGGGAGCGGGTGAATTGCAGAGCCGGGAGCGCGGAGAGCGGGATAAAACTTCCTGATGGAAATGGAGAAGCCAGGGCTGGCCCATAGAGGAAGGATAAAGAAACCGTAAGTCACTCACTTGACTTCGGAGCCGCCTTTGTTGTGCTGCTGTGTGCGAGGTCTGATTTCTTCCAAGTTCGTGTCCTTAAGGCAGGTTTCTGTGTTGCAAGGATACACGAGGACAGCTCTAGATGTGAGAACTGGAGTTAACTGATGATAAATGGAGGAAAAGCGAAATCTGCCTTTGCTTTTTGTGGCAATGGCCTGTGGAAGGTGCACCTGAACTTGCTGTTTCATAGTCAGATGAGTAGTTTTGATGGGTTAGCAATGCCAGCTATATTTGCTCCTTAATTCGTGATTTACCATTGTGTCGCGGTGTTTTTACCTCCTCTGATTAAATCTGCAAACCTGAGCTGTGGAAACCACAGGCATGTCCGGGTCCCAGCACCCGGGTTTCCTGGTGCCTTTTGTGCTTCTGGACATGCAGTGAACTTCTCAGAGCCGAGGTGCAGGTGGGGCGAATGGATCCGTTCTAATATTCCTGCCCTTGGGAAGGGCTGCAAACGCGGCTGCCTTTTCTTTCTAGCAACAAAGGGGGAAAAATGTAGTATCTTCCCCAGTCTGTAATTCCTCCCAATGTGTGCCCACCTCAAGGGATGTGTTTTCCCACTCCTGGATGGGACGGATCGAGCATTTAAAAAGGAAGTAAAAGCCCTTCCTTGGCTATTTCAGCATCTCCCAGATCCCAGGATAGTGCAGGATAACATGGACCTGCTTGGACATGCCATAAAGAGGCCGTTAGGAATTTAAGGGGAGAGGTAATGACACAGATGAGCGGCCCTGAGATGAACTGCGAGGAGTGAAGGGAGCAATTCCAGAAGGGAATTCCCGCGGGATGGTGGAAGCGCCGGCTGCTTCCCCAGCCCCAAGTGTGGGAATGGCTGAAATCCCGCCGGGAGCTCAAACCCTCGACAGAGCACCGGGAGCGGAGCTGCCTCTCACCTGTGGGGCTTTCTGAGGCTTTTGGGAGAAGCCAAAATATTTAAACAGAGCCACTAAGCATTCCCAGTTCCTGCTGCTTTCCTTCCAAATCAAAAACCTTGGGGCTTCCTGATGAATTTCTGTGCAAAGACTCTGCCCCCATTGCACAGGCTGTGCTTCTCCATCAGAAATAGAGATTTGTGCCGTCAGCTCCCGCTCTGTTTCAAAGGGGAAGCTTCGGATCCGCCTGTCGCGTTGGGTGCCGCGCAGCCCGTTTGCCCCGTTGGTTTTGAGGAGGGTTCTCGAACGTTGGACGTGCTGCACGCCGGGACACGCAGCAAACTGCCCGCCACGCGGAGCTGCCGCGGTGGGAACGGTGCTGGCGCCGAGCAAACTGCAGATTTCTTACAGTTTGCGTGGGAATGCTGGAGGCTGTGGTACCGGAGTGGGGGGGCTGCAGGAGCATGCGAGTGTTTCCATGCATCTCCTTAGAGAATCACAGAACCACAGAATGCCCAAGGTTGGAAGGGGCCTCTAGGGATCATCCAGTCCAGCCCCCTGCACACGCAGGGTCACCTAGAGCACGTGGCACGGGGCTGCGTCCAAGCGGGTTTGAAGATCTCCAGAGA